CCACCTTGTTGAGAAGAAATACATTCTTTTAACCAGTGCTCTGCAGGTATGCTTAACTAAAATTGTATTTAAAGTGGTATTAAATGGGCTTAAATATTATTATATTTAAGCCCAAATTGCAGCGCTGATATAGTGAACATTAAAAAATATTCTTCAGAATTACAAGCTCACAAGAAAAATTGTCTGTTTATATTTATTCTACAACTCCTCTCTTCTGTAGAAGTGGAGTGTGTGGTCTCAGTTTAATTTGCACACCTGACTTGACGAGTGACGACTGGTTCAGTCTGATTCATAAAGGCAGCAGATTAAAAGTAGCATAAAGCTCTTAAAATGTAAGACCTTGTATATAGAAATTTAAAAGCATTTAGTACTTAATCCTCAAGACAAATTAAGACTTTTTAAGAATCTGCATGTAAGGTGTACTCGGCCCTGATGTAACCGTTGTGTGTTCACCTGTACAGGTAAGGCGGTGTTTCTGGCACGGGATAAGCACCATCTCTCTGACTTGTGCCACCTAATTCGGCACGAGGCTCCATACCTATTCCAGGAATATGTGAAGGAGAGCCACGGGCGAGACGTGCGCGTGGTGCTCGTGGGCGGCAGAGTGATCGGATCTATGCTGCGCTGCTCAACAGACGGACGCATGCAGAGCAACTGCTCCCTCGGTGCGTGTGCTATGTGCCTTCATTCATGTCTAGTATAACTGTAAAGTACAGGTTTGACCACTAATTGCAAGAAGCATGCATTCAAAAACACTACAAACCAAAACCAAGAAATACACACATAACTCTCTCCCACCCCCCTAAACATGCCTGTAAGGGAACGAGCTAGTCTAAATTGCCTCAAGGCTTGAATGAGTGTGTGAATGCGTGCACGGATGGTGCCTTAGCATCCCATTCGGCGTGTATTCCCGCCTCATGACTGTTCCTGGGATAGGATCAGGATTACTGACGATGAATGAATGAATGAATGTACTTGACAATGTAATTTGTATATAAAATTGCAGCATCTCCTGCCAGTTATAAAATTTGGAGCCTTTCGAGCAAGGTACATGTTAATGAATTTCCTTATATGTAAATTTACAGCAGCTCCTGGGATATAAACATTTTTCTTATCTAACTGGATTTTTTCTCGTGTGTGTGTGTGTGTGTGTGTACACACACTGATTAGCCATAACATTAAAACCACCTGCCTAATATTGTGTAGGTCCCCCTTTGTGCCTCCAGAACAGCTCTTGACAGACTTGTCAAGGCAGGGACTCCACAAGACCTCTGAAGGTGTGCTGTGATATCTGGCACCAAGACATTTGCAGTAGGGCCTTTATGTCCTGTAAGTTGCAAGGTGGGGCCTCCATGGATCGGACTTGTTTGTCCAGCACATCCCACAGATGCTCAATCGGATTGAGATCTGGAGAATTTGGAGGCCAATCAACACCTTGAACTCTTTGTCATGTTTTTCAAACCGTTCCTGAACAATTCTTTTGCAATGTGGCAGGGCGCATTATCCTGCTGAAAGAGGCCGCTGCCATTAGGGAATACCGTTGCCATGAAGGGTTGTACTTGGTCTGCAACAATGGGTAGGTGGTACTTGCCAAAGCAACATCCACATGAATGCCAAGACCCAAGGTTTCCCAGCAGAACATTGCCCAGAGCATCACACTGCCTAATATATCCCACCCCACACACACACCAATTAGCCATAACATTAGAACCACCTACTGACAGTTGACGTGAATAACATTTTATTATCTCAATACAATGGCACCTGCGAAGGGGTATGCAGTGGTTAGTATCCATCAGAAGTGGTCCAAGGAATTTCACTGATGTGTGTGGGGAGCGAAGACTAGCCTGTCTGGTCTGATCAAATAGAAGAGCTTCTGTATCACAAATTGCTGAAAAAGTTCATGCTGGCTATGACAGAAAGGTGGCAGAACACACAGTGCATCACAGCTTGCTGCGTATGGGCCTGCATAGCCACCGACCTGTCAGAGTGCCCATGCTGACCCCTGTCCACTGCTTAAAGCACCTACAATGGGCACGTGAGCATCAGAACTGGAGCATGGAGCAATGGAAGCCGGGTGTGTGTGCATCGTTTACCTGCTGAAGAGATGGCACCAGGATGCACTATGGGAAGAAGACAAGCTGGCGGAGGCAGTGTGATGCTCTGGGCAATGTTCTGCAGGGAAACTCATGTGGATGCTACTTTGACACGTACCACCTACCTAAACATTGTTGCAGACAAAGTACACCCCTACATGGCAACGGTATTCCCTAATGGCAGCGGCCTCTTTCAGCAGGATAATGCGCCCTGCCACACTGCAAAAAAAATTGTTCAGGAATGGTTTGAGGAACATGACAGGGAGTTCAAGTTGTTGGCCTCCAAATACCCCAGATCTCAATCCAATCGAGCATCTGTGGGACGTGCTGGACAAACAAGTCCGATCCATGGAGGCCCCACCTCGCAACCTTTAGGACTTACCACAGCACACCTTCAGAGGTGTCTTGATGGGTCAGAGTTGTTTTGGGGACCTACACAATATTAGGCAGGTGGTTTTAATGTTATGGCTGATATCAGTGTGTATGCATAATATACCATTTTATATAATCATATAGTATCATAGCATATTTTGATTTTGTTCAGTGGTGGAAATCCATCATTAACTTTTATACAAAGTTGTATCGAGTTTTAGCTATTAGACAATATGACTAATTAAATGGGTTTAAGACAAGCCTTAATAACAAGAAGGCCTATAAATAACGTCATCCAGAATCTAATGCATTCTCACAGTAGAATGTTCAGTAATAAAAAGCTCCGATAAATGGCCAGAATATTGTAGATATTTGTATAAAGAGCCTAATATTTGGATAGTTCATATTATAAATCTGTATAACTGATAAAATGCCCTGTGAGGATATGGTTGAAGGTGTGCTTCATGAAGTACCTGCTAAGCCCAGCTCTCTTTCTTCAGGTGGTGTGGGTGTGATGTGCCCTCTGAGTGAGCAGGGCAAGCAGCTGGCTGTGCAGGTGTCCAACATCCTGGGCATGGACGTGTGTGGTATCGACCTGCTGCAGTTGAATGACGGCTCATTCGTGGTTTGTGAGGCCAACGCCAATGTAGGCTTTATCGCATTTGACCAGGCATGCGGGATCGACGTGGCAGGTATCGTGGCAGACTACGCCCTGTCGCTGCTGCCCAGCCGCCTTAGCCGCAAGATGTCCCTGCTCTCCGTGGTGTCCAGCGCCAGCGAGACCAGCAGCGAGCCTGAAGTGTGTATCCCCCCAGAGGCATGCCCACCTGTCGCACCC